GCAGAGACCCCCGACGTAAGCCAACCTCTTTAAACAGGGATGGGAAGGCACCAACAGGGCCTCCTGCAAGTAACAGGTAGTCCTCAACGTACAACCACACGGGAGCCCAACATTTATGTTGCTAAGTGAAACCTTTGTTGTTCATTTTGCCCCATTTTACGACCTTTCTTTGCCACCGTTGCTAAGTGAATCACTGCAGTTATTAAGTTAGTCACAGAGGGGTTAAGTGAATCTGACTTCCCCGTCGACTTTGCTTGCCGGAAGGTCGCAAAAGGGGACCCCGGGATCCTGTCATAGAGGTGAGTCAGTTGCCAAGCACCTGAATTTTGATCACGTGACCATGATGGCTGTAAGCAGGAAAAACAGCCGCAAGTCCCTTTTTTCAGTGCCGCTGTGACTTTGGACCAGGGCTCTTCCAACTTGGCAAGCTTTAAGCCTCGTGGGCTTCCACTCCCAGAATCCCTCCTCCTCCAGTCGTGCTAGCTCAGGAATTCTGGGAGTGGAAGTCCACAAGGCTTAAAGCTTGCCAAGTTGGAAGATCCTTGCACTAGGCCAACAATCGAGCAGTTAAAACCAAGGGTCTTCCAACTTGGCAAGCTTTAAGCCTCGTGGGCTTCGACTCCCAGAATTCCTGAGCTAGCATGACTGGAGGAGGAGGGATTCTGGGAGCTGAAACCCACAAGCTTGCCAAGTTGGAAGAGCCTTGCTTTGGACGGCCACGAAAGGCACTGTTGGAAGTCAAGGACTACCTGTTTGGCTTTTTTTATAGATGGGTGTGTCAGAAAAGACGAGGGGAGGGGGCTTCTCTTAGCGTTGCCGAGGAGAGCCAGGAGCCAAGCAGGGGTTTCCTGCCCCGAAGGACACCAGAGGACCCGCCCCCCCGCCGCCGCACTCCCCCTACCTGGCACAGGCCAAGGCCACCAGGGCAGCGGCGGCGTTCTCCTTCTGCCGGTGGGGGATCTGCTGGCCGCAGGGCGAGGCCTCCTCCAGCCAGGAGCAGAGCAGAGCCTCGATGCCGTTCAGGCAGTCGGCGGGCTCCTTGGTCAGGCTCAAGGGCTGGCAGTCCCGGAGGCAGGAGAGGAGCACCTCGGCGGTGACGTTGCCCAAGGAAGGGTCGGTCCTGCTCTGGGACTCGATCAGGGGGAAGACCAGGAGCAGACCCATGCGGGAGGTGAAGGGCGCCTGCTCCGACTGCTGCAGGAGGCCCTGCCGCTTAAGCAGGGCCAGCGCCTCCTCATCGCCCGAGCTCTCCCGCTCGTGCTGCTCCTCCAGGGCCAGCTGGCGCTGGGCGTTCCAGAGGCCCCGCAGCGCATTCAGGCGGTACTCCAGCAGGCGGGCGTAGGCGTTGCTCTGGTTGCCACAGATGGCGCGCAGGCGCTCCGACAGCTCCGTGGGGTTCTTGGTCTCGAAGGTTAAGATCTGGAGGGGACAGAGAGGGGGAGACCTTCAGGCTCAGGGAGGCCTTCTCCAGCTCCCTCCCAGGGTTCAAGCCCGGAGCCTTCGGGGAGAGGAAGGGCTCCAAAGTCATCACCCAAAGCGGGGAGAATATCTGCAGCTCGGCAGGCTTTAGAACAGGGTTTCCCAACCTCGGCCGCTTTAAGATGAGTGGACTTCAACTCCCAGAATCCCCCAGCCAGCACCCTCTTCAAAGCGGCCGAGGGTGAGAAGATACTGAGTTTTCCAGGAAGGCAGACTGGAACCCATATCCAAGCTATGGGCTTTTCCCCTTATAGAATCCATGCTGGTCCTTGGCATCAATTCACCTCGTGCTGCTATTGAGTGGCTGCCCTAAGGAAAAACACAAAGCTTGATTCACTTCTGAACTTACTGCCCTGACTGCTTTAAAAGCCTGAGCTTTTAAGTGGGGGAAGAAATACTATCAATTCCCTCATTTTATCCCCCATCTTGCAAGAGCATGCAAGACACACACACACACACACTCACACGCTTTGATTAACGACCAAGCATAAAATTTGTGTTGTGCCAAGGTACCATTAAAGCAGAACCACTATCCAGACGGATTTAAAATTTCGGATAATGTTACCATTCGCTTTACGATCAGTATCAGATATTTATGAATTCACAACCTTTTCTGGGTTGCTTTATATGGCTTGTAGATGACATTAGATGACACATAAAACCAGAGCTTTTGTTTTTTGAGCAACTTCAATGGCAAGGAGCAAGAAATAGGATTACTGAGAAAGGATTTCAAGGCCAATCAGCCAAATAAATACTAGCTGACATACGTAGTTAGCTAAATGCTGCAAACATTGATTTAGCGGGGTGTAAACTCACAAAACAGGGTCTAATAAAAATCCATTCGGTTTTCCAGCATTACAAATTCACTGTGGCATCCTCCAAATTCTAAGACGGTGCAAAATTTAACAGCGGCAATTTCTGCTTTTTTATTAGGAAAATGTTGTGATTTCACGCAGGGAAAGAAGTGCTGGCAAGTAAGTTTAAAACGAACAGACTTCAACTCCCAGAATTCCCCGGCCAGCATGAAGTTGAAATCCACTCCTCTTAAAAGTTGCTAAGGTTGAGAAACAGGGTTCTAAGGGTTATGCATGTTTCCACGGATCTGATCCCAAGAGAATAACGAACAGCCCCGGATTTGGGTCGAAACTTTTACAAGGCTGGTCCCCATGTACCCATGCCTTGTTCTTCTCCTCTGTATATTATTCCTCTGCTGAGTCAGGACCATTGAGGAGAGAATTCCTTTGTTATTCAGGGTGAATTCCCCTTGTTTTTAAGAATACAAAAGTAATGGAGGATCACAGCCAGTCCAGTGGCTTCTTGGGAATAAAGGAGAACTGGTGCATGAGACACACACACCCCCACCAAATATATTCTTTTACATAGATGTAAAAGAATAGACCCACTCCTGCAGCCGAGATGCTTGCTGTATTGGCAAAATCGATACCCAGGTAAGCACAGCACAAACCCTGAAGGCTGAGAATGCGCCAGTCATGGGCCCGAGTGGTTCTTTCCCATTGTGCTGCCAGCAGAGTAGCCTCTAAAGAGTGGTGCCTTCTAGATTTCCAACAGTCAACACAAAAAGCAACTGGTGTGTGCTAGAACGATCGATGTCAGTCCTGGAAGCGGCCATGCTCCACACAAAGCAAGGACAGGACAATCACAACTGTTTGTGTAACCCCAGGAATGGGTGGCACACACTGACCTCTGAGAAGGGTCAGGGCAAAGGGCCCCTTTGGGGGTACTTCTCATGAGGGATGATGCCTGGCTGGCACTGGGCCTTTGGGGGGTTTTTGGGGGGGCTCTGAATGAGGATTTCTGTCGCAAGTACCCCGTGAGCCCTGTCTGGTTTCTCACCTATGCTATATTCTTCACGTATGTACAGGCAGTCCTCGACTTAACGGTTCATTTAGTGACTGTTCAAAGTTACAACGGCACTGGAAAACGTGACTTAGGACTAGCTTTTTCCCCACAGCTACCACCTTTGCAGCATCCCCAGGGTCAGTCACGTCACCAAAGTTCGGAGGCTGGGCAACGGGTTTATATTTATGACGGTTGCTGCGTCCCAAGGTCATGGCGGGTCTTGTTTGCAACCTTCTGACAAGCAAACTCCAAGGGGTTCACTTAACGACCGGGTTACTAACTTATGACCTGCAGGGACTGGCTTAAGAATGGTGGTGAGAAGTTGTAAAATGGAGGCGGGGGCAGCAAAACTTTCCTTAGCAAATGTTGCACTCAGCAAGAGAAATCTGGGGCTCCATTGTGGCCGTAAGTTGAGGACCCTGATATTTTTACAACCATCCCACTTTCTGGTATCATATCACAGTTTTTCTCTACCAGAACTCCTAACTAAGATGATACACAGCATCCAGGTATACTTTGCCAGCATCTGGGTCGTTTATCGCTGCAACACATGTGCAAAAGAAGAGAAAAAAGTGAGCTCCTGAATTAGCTCTACCAACACCACCACACCATCCTCCTCTGTTTGGATGAATTTCTCAACTTCCTTGTCATTCCATTTAAATAATTTTTGCACTGAAATTACTGGGTAGCCCACAAAGGACTCCCACTTAATCATGATCTCTCTCTCTCTCTAGGAAAAGCAGTACTCCTAACTTCTTTAACTCTTTGTTGAGCAACGGGAGCTAAAATCCTGCAGAAACAGCAAACAGGCTGCCTATCGAAGAGGCATTTATTTTTAAATAAACACTCTGAAGTCAAAGGGTTCTGAGTGATTTCCAGGCTGGTCTGGTCTTGAAAAGCGGGAAAGAGGCCAGAGTTCGTTAGTACCAGGATGGGGGACCACTAGGAAATCCCAGGGCCGCAGAATAAACTGGGAAGTCAATCCCAGAAGAATGTAATAAAAAAACCATCTCTGTATAGATGACAGTGCAGTTGAAAAGACGGCTGCCAACAATGGGAAGCTCTTATTGCAGATCTATAGCACAGCCATAACTGGAATACTGTGCTCGGTTTTAGTCATCACATTTGAAAAGGCTATGAAGAACTGAGTGGGGGGGGGGAGTGCAGACAAGGACAAACAAAACTATCAGGAGCTTGAGAAAAAGCTGAAACATCTGAGACGGGCAAGAACAAAATGCAGAAAGGTTTTAAAAAAGGAAAATAATGCCCTGGGTGAGGAAAATAGGGCTAGGGGCTGCTTTCTCCCCCCTCCTCCATCGCTAGCGGCAGGGGCCATTCAGTGAAGCCATAGAGAAAAAGAACAACAGAAACCTCCTTCACACTTCCGGCAATTAATCTGCGGGATTCATCGGCACAAGATATGATGAGGATGTGATATGAAGATGACCAGAGTGACAAGGGAGCAGAGGAAGTCAGGGAGGACACCCAGGAGGAGGGACGTTCGTCTCAAAGACTCAGTGCTGCCTCTGTGTGGGGACAACCAGGTGCAGGGACCCCCCCAGGAGGAGAGGACTGGGCCCCTACATCTCTTGGCCTCTGACTGGATGCTCCCAGACAGAAGCGTGGACCCAGGTGAGTGCTGGCCTTCGGGAGTCAAGCTGAAAGTCAAGAAACTTTCCCCGTTTTGAGCTAAATGTGCAAAGTTGCCAGGCATAATCTGGGGTGTGCCTCACCCCCACCCGCCCCCAAAGCATTTGGGACGATCCATTGCATTTTTATGTGGGAGAAATGTAAATTTAGAGCCACTTGCTGGTGAGATGGGCAGCATATAAATTTAATAAGTAAGTCCATTCCTGACTGGCCGAAGGTTGACTCAGTCTTCCGTCCTTCTGAGAGGTTGGTAAAATGAGGACCCCGATTGTTGGGGCAAGTGGCATATAAGTCTAAGTGCTATTAACAAATAAGTAAACAGTAAAAATATTAATGGGAACAATCAGCTGGATGCAGCAGCTTTTCCACCTGAGTGGTATTGGACCGCCCCTGTATCCTGCCCAGCTACTGGGGCCTTGTGGGCTCTGCTGGCTGGCAGGGTGCTGGCCTTTGTACTCCCATTTATCTGTTAAACATCCTTTGGGGAGAGGCGAGGGAAAGCAAAGGCTTATCCATTGCTATTTACATTTCAGGAACCCCAAACATCCACATTATCAGCTTCCATTCCACAACATGTTTTCTAAACAATTGTAGAGATTGTACAATTACCTTGAAACTACAGCAGGCTCTCTGAGCAATTACTGCACAGGGCTGTCATGTGATTAATCATCATTTAAAGCAGGCTTGCAGAACTAATGGGCTCAATTCTATTTCTGGATGCAAACTATATTGATGCAAAAAGGAAAAAGAAAAAAACCCAAACAAGAACCACCGCCTTCTGGACCACAAGACCACAAACCATTCCACGTTCTTTGACAGATCACAACAAAAACAAGCCTCCCCCCCCCCCGCCCCCCAAAAAGGGGTCCGTCAGCATTTATTTTAACAAAAGGCTTGCAATGTGTGGGCCAGTGTCATTTCCACCACCCATACTCCATTGCTTGTCCACCCGAAGAGCTGACGGCAGCCCGGGCTCCTTCCCGGCAACACAATAGCATCCCTTCAAGCTCCCTACACAAACGCAGGTGACCAAGCATAAGCCTTCAATGCGGTGCCTGCTGAACCGTCCCCGTTTGGTTCACACCACCCGGCTTCTGACAAAGAACCTGTGTCACCGAGAGCCACCCGGCTGGGGAAGAGGGCGGAGTGACGGAGGGAGGCGCATCAGAAAAGCCGTAGCAGGAAAGGCATTGGCAGCCCAGGGCTCTTCGGCAGCCCCTCTTTTTAAGGGGGGGGGGGAAGAAGCCCAGATTGCCAAGCCTCATGGTTCCTCTCCCTTGGCTTTTGGGCCACCCCAGGGAGCTCAGCCCCGGAATCAGCCATGGGCACATGTCAGAACAAGGCAGGCCATTCAGCAGGAAAACCAGAATGAGAGGATCCCCCTGGGTGGGGGGCGGGGGGAGGATTCCCCAGGAGAAAGAGAGGAGGAGGAGGAGAGCTGCCCAACCTCTGGCCTCTGCTGCTTCCTTACTGCTGAATCACCTTTGCGACAGGCAGCCTGTGGAGCAATGTGGATGTAGGCAGACCTGCCCCAGTGTTTACATGCTCCTTCCTGTTCTTGGATGGGCACCTCGATCCTGCTGGGATCAAGGAATCAGAGCTGCTCTCTGCCCCTCTCCTCCCCCCCGCCCGGTCACCCTCCATCCCGCCCCCCCCCCCGCCCCTATTTCCCATCTCCCAGCCCTCAGCTTCCCATCCTTCATCCGCTGGCCTTTCAGAGGTTGTCCTTCAACCAAGCTCCCTCGGTCCTCCTCCCACCTGTTTCTCCTCACTTGGGCAGCTTCTCCCATCCGGTCCCTTGGCCAGGATCACCTCTAAACTTTCTCCTCTTGACCTCCGCCCGCCTCCAGTTCTTCTTCCTTCGCTGCCTTCCTTGACCCACCTCTTATCCCATATCTTCCAAGGGTCTTCCCATCTCCCACCCTTCCCCATTCCATCCCCTTCATTCCAGTCCCTTACAATGGGAAACCTCCTTCCAGGGCAGGATTTGATGTTTCCAGTGGGCCGGTTCCCCACCTGAGCACCCTCCCTCTGTTAAATATCCCTGACCCAGGTGTGCATCTCCTTCCCAGAAAGAGAGGTTGGGGGTGATCCCTCCTTCCTCCTCTCATCTTTCCTTCCTTCCTTCATCCCTCCCCATCCTCTCTAAACCTTCCTTTCTTCTTTCCTTCCTTCCTTCCTCCCACCTCTCAACTTCCTTCTCTTTCCTTCCTTCTCTCACCTTCCTTCCTTCCTTCCCTCACCTAGCTACCTTCCATCTCTAATTCTTCCTTCTTTCCTTCCTTCCTTCTTCCCTCCCCCATCCTGTCCAAACCTCCCTCCCTTCCTTCTTTTCTTCCTTCTCTCACCTTCCATCTCTTCCCTTCCTTCTCTCACCTGTCTACCTTCCTTCCATCTCTTAGCCTCCCTTCCTCGACTCAGTGGGACCCCCCAGGGCCCTCTTTGGCTCCCATTCCCTTGGTGATGGTGGGGGGGGGGCAAACCAAGGGCCCCCCTCCCTTGAGCCTGTCCCGTTATTAACCCCCAGCCCTCCCCCCTTTCCCAACCCCCTCCCCCCCCCGTCTAACGACGGGGGCGGGCAGAGGAAGAGGCCAAGGCGATGCCGGGGCCCCCTTCGCCTCCCTCGGAGCCAGCCAGGGCCTTCCCTCCTGGGGAGGGGGGGGACACTGACTCCCCCTCAGGTAAAGGCCCCGCGACCCCCACCCGCCCTTGTCCGAGCCCCCCCCCCCCCAATCCTTCCTCACCTCCAGCTCGGTGTCTCCGGGCTCGGCCACGCCGATGATCTCGCTGGGCAGCTCGGCCAGGTCGGTGACCCGGATCAGCCCGTCGTGGAGAAAGATGGTCTCCTCCTTCACCGACAGCCACTGCGCCGAGTCGGCGGCGGTGGCCGCGGCGGAGCCCGAGGCGCCCGCCGGGGAGCCCATCCAGGAGGCCGGGCGGGGACGGCGGCACCTGCCTCCCAACCTCCTTCCTCGGCGGTGGCGGCTGAGGAGAAGCGGGGATGCTCCGGCAGGCCGGGCGGCGGGAGGAGGAGGGGGGGAGGGAGGAGGAGCGGCGGAGGCGGCGCCCTCAACCCCCCGCCATGATGGGCGGAGGAGGGGGCGGGGCCTACTCACGCGCCCGGCTGACGGCACCACGCCATCTTGGAGGCGCGCGAGCGGACCTCAAGGCGCGGGAGGGGGAGGAGGGCCCGGCATGCCCCGCGCCGCGCGACCGAAGAGCCAGGACGCGCGCGTTACCCCGCCCACTGGGCGTGACAGAGCTGTGTCTCTCCCCCTCCCCGGACGCCGCTCATTGGCTGCCCCGCCATAGACCCCGCCCGGTCCGGATCGCCTCAGAGCGCTTGTGGTCCCCGCCGGGGAAGGAGGTGAGGGTCGCCGGCTCTTTCGGCGAATCTTAAGCCGGGATGGCAAAGGGGAGCGGGGATGGGGGCAAGCGAGCGGCCTGTTCTGCCTTGGCGGGGGCGGTTCCGATCCGTTTCTCAACCGTGGTCGTTTTTAAGAGAGGTGGACTTCAATTCCCAGAATTCCCCAGCCAGCTGGCTGGGGAATTCTGGGAGTTGAAGTCCACAAACCTTGAAAGTGAATAAGCAGTGAAGCACCAAGCCCCAAACCAGGAGACTGGGAGTTCTAGTCCCGCCTTAGGCATGAAAGGCAGCTGGGTGACCTTGGGCGAGTCCCACCCCACCCAGACAAGCCTACCTGACAGGGTGGTGGTGGGGGGAAGGGAGGACTATGCCACCTATTTACCACCTTGAATTATTTACAAAAATAATAAAAAGCTAGGATGAAAAGATCTAATTTTTTTCCCCATATATAGCAATTTAAAAAAACTTAATTTTAACTTAATTTTGGAAAATCGATTTATTTTAGAAAAATACTGCAGATACTACAGCGGAAGGAAGTATTAATACTCTCCTAGTCTTGTTTTTTTTAAAAATGCTCAGGATTGTAGTAGGAATATAAAGTGAAAAAAAATGTTGGTTTCCCTTGAGAGCAAGTGAAGAAACACGATTCTATCATTTTTGTGCCTTTTTTGTTTGCATGCAGTTAATAGGCTTAACAAGGTGGTATGCACTCTGCACATAACATCCAAGCTGATATTTAATCCGAGGCCTTCATTTGCAGCAAGAAAAAGTGGGAAACAAACCTTGCTTAAAAGTGAGGGACTGCCCTTCATTTTCATGGCCATGCCATGTCTTCAGAGGATGGGCATTTTATCAAGGTCAGAGGCACGCAAGGCTTTTACAACAGGGCCAGATCCTTGATTCAACCCAACACTGTCATCTCTTTCAACTCTGACACATAGATGTCAAAGCAGATATTGTCCGAAATGATAAATCAGTTGTTTTTTCAATGATGAACAATAGCAATAGCCACAAGGCAGATTCAGGAACCATCGTTTGAGACAAAGCAATAATCCGACAGCTGAAATGAAGGTGTTGCTGTCCACTTCTGGATGATGCTATCAATAGGATGACTGCTAAGTAAAGGAGAACCAAAAACACACACAAAAAATTCTGCCCTTTGAAAATTTTTGTTATAAATGATGCGAGAGCAGGTCCATTCTTGAATCAGTTACCAAAGATTGGGAAGACAAACCAGTGAAATTGTTTTAAATAACCATAGAGGTGTTCTAAATGGATTTGGTGGTACTTTAGGGAATTATCTAGGAAATAAAATTATTTGTTTCACCAGCTAATTTTGGCTCTTCCGGTGGGATAGCGCACAAAGGCTTGGCCACAGAAACTACAGTGAGTAAATTTGGTAAGCTTTATCTTGCAATATTATCTCAGAAAGCATAACTTAAGGAACATTGGGTGCTATCAAAACTGTGTGTTCGAAATAGCATAATGAGTATGCAGGTTTCCCACTGAATCAACACTTTATCTTATAATCCAAGCCTTAAACAATAATTTAAACAATCAACAGGGCCTGCTGGAATATGCAAATTTTCCTGAGAGGATTGGGCTGGTTGAACAATACAAGAGAACATCTGGTCAGCTGTATAGTCTATTTTTATTTCAGCGATTAAAATAAAACTCAGCTGCATGCATCTTTAACATACCACCCAATTATTTTTTTATAAAATTTAATGCTACTTAATTAGCTTAGGAAAAATAGCTATTTACATGTTTGGAACTGTTTTGTTTGTAATGTTCATTATCAGAGGTGGTGGGGGGAGGAAGGGAACCAAATAATGCTGGTTGGGCAATTCTGGGACTAAAGTCCACAAATATTAAAGTTGCCAAGGTTGGACACCCCTACCACTGTGCCCCCAGAAAACAGGAAAGGGTTCCCACCAAATAGGGTATTTCTGAATAGACACAGATCCTTCTCTGTGGTGGTCTAATTGTTTTGCTTTGATTTAGAATGGTATTCGAGAATTTGTTTTCCACTTTAAATTATTTTGCCAATTACTTTCTGCTTGTTTCCCTTCTGATTTTTAGCTGAGCTTCACACACATTTTGGCTGTTTTAATCCCTGAACTGTATTGTTAGTAGAAAGCTATGTAGACTGACCCTAAATTAACATACATTTACATAGGGTGAAATATCATTATATAATGGGATCAAGGATGCTTTCAGGGATGTGCATTTGGGGCTGATCTGACAGTTGATAAATTGGGCAGGGCTGAAGTCTCATTACCCAGACTCCTTTAACTATGACTGTACCTTTGATTACCCTGACAGGATATTATTACCTTCCTGTAAAGATCATCTCAACACAAAGGGTGATACAACACATTAACATTCAGTAACACCAGTCTAAGGAGGAAGTAGTTCATAACCCTGTGATTTTGATTAGTCCTACTAGTGAAATACAGAAGAAAACTATATACTGGAGGACTATAATGTGTGTTTTAGTGGTGAGAAGTTAGCATAATATTGATCTAATGTTCCTGCAATACCTATATAACCCATTTAAAAACAAGTGTAATCATCCCTAAATTATTGTGGCTTGAAAAACCCTAAATATCTCTTATTTGGCTTCTGAAAAGTTTGGCCTCTTGTGGGAACACCCAAGTGCCCCCCAGGATCATATAATTCCATCCTGTGATTAACTCAAGACCACCATGAGATTTTAAAGGAGGACATCTTTTCGTCCCAAGCATCTCACAGATTCACATGCATCATGCTTTGGGCCACATACTTTGACATGGCTACTCCTTATTTCGGTAATTGTCTCTCTTCTACTTGTTTGCACCAATAGACAACGAACGACTGATCATCCTCCATTCAGACACACCACATCCGAAGAGCTTCCTAGTGAGTAAACATGATGTCTCCAAAAAGACCTAATATGAATTTTTTTTATTGAATGGGAACCAAGTTATATGTAAATTCCCCCTTTATGTTCATGTTTATTTTATATCAATTTACACTGCACTAAGTTGTGATCTACTAACTAATCACTGGGTTCAGCCAACACAAGCACATGAATCAAGGATTATCTTTTTTCACCCTGTTTGACTTAAAATGCTTTACTGATGGCTCAGCATTGCCAGATATATGGCAAAACCCAGTCTGTGGGGATAAATGCTATGTTTCTATGGCCTTTGCTTAAAGCCAAAATAATATCCACAGTTCTTTGTATATATTTCAAAGACGGGAGTTATAAATTCAATACAAAAATAAGCACTAAATGTATCCTCTGTCCTTGATTTCCTGTACAATTAATCAATAAATCAAGCTTGGTTATGCCAAATACTTCCCAAGTCTCTGATTCAGGCCAGTTCTTTGGGGATTAAAAAAATCCACACACATCCCTCCCATAAACCATGTTTCTCTTTTACACTTTTCATGCCAGGATAATTTCCGAAACGTAGGAACCAAGATAGTTTCAATTAAGTGTTCAATACTTTAACATAGAACATGAAATTTCAGTAGCTGTAACGTGGCTGGAGCACGCTGTGAAACACTTGTATTAATTGCTGAATATCTCACATGTTTTAATGGATCTCTTCACTTCCAGTTTAATCAAAGAGAAATGTTAAAATTGCTTCAGGGTACATTTCCCCCAAACATTTGTGCTTTGGGAGTGAGGGGGAAGTGTGAGTGAACCCCAAAATTAATGGAAAGTTTATTACTTTTCACTGCCCTAGATATTTTAGGGGATATAATGACAAAACAAACAAGTCCCATTTCAAACAAAGTACTTCAACGCTGCTGAGTCAGTTGACACCAAGAGCATTCATCCTACCTGTCTAACCTCATGCCAGGGGAGCAATTAGCACTACCAACAGCCAACCACAAGGCTTGGTCCAATTCATCCGGTGTCCTTCCTCACTGCTGACCGGCCTCCAGGATACTGACGGGTGATTTCCTGTCATTTCCAGATTGTTTTGCTGAGCACACCTCTGCACAAAGCAGCAGAACGTGCTCTGCTATCTGGGGAGGCAGCTTGCCTGGTGCCGCCTTCAGAACAAAGGGGCCAAGGCCGCCTTTTAAGCAGAGTGTCACTTTTGCAGATTTCTCTGTTAAGGACTGAACAGCTAATTTTGGCATTTCTCACTAAATGTGGTAACTTTGCTATACCCATCATTGCAGCAAATACATCCTGCGAGCCCTAAATAATCCACTGTCTGAATCACGCTTCTCATTTTAACCCAGTTTATTCCAACCAGGGACTTGAGCAAGCAGGAGCCTTGGCCTCTGAATGACCCCAGCCTGCCGTAAAGCTCAAACTGCCTGCCTTCGCCTTGTGCGCCTGACTTGACGGGAATCCAAACTGGGCCAAGCTCCTTGCAACCTTTCATCACGCTGCCCAAAAGGAATCAGGAAGAGCTTGCTTGGCAAGACTCTCCCACAGAGACAGAGCGGGAGCTGCTTGCTGCCTGGAGTTTGGAATAAGATGGGCGGTTACAGAAACGCTTCGAATAGAATAAAAGCACGCTCCAATGTTGTCATGGTCCTGAGGCTTTGTAAAACTGACCACTAGCTGGAGGGGTAATCAGCCCCACATTTTTTTATCTGTGGGAACCATCAGGATGGCTATACCAGAATGGCTGGTCCTAACAGGTAGCCTGTTGACTAAGTTAGTAACTGGCTGGATTCACACAACCACCTTCTGAACTGCAACCCAATAAAAACGAAATGAGCTGGAGATCCAGCGAACTGGAGCCCAGAAAGCGAGATTCACACCTGACGTCTGTCGAGGGGAACACCTAGTTGGGGAAAGCTGGATTAGATGCCTCTCGCGTTGCTTGGGGCGTTATGGCTTTCCCAGATTTCAAGCCACAAAACCTCCTTTTCCTCGCTTAATGTTTAATTAACGCAATTGCCTCTGTAAGGCTGTGATTCAAGCATGGCACACAAGCTCCCTCTCCTGACCAAAAGGGAAAAAAAAAACACCCACACGACACCACTTATTTACTAAGCAATCATGCCAGTTGAACACAAATACCGCAAGCGCTCCAAGGCTAAGGGGTCAAGTCTCGGACCCCTGGTGGCCTAGCAGTTGGTGAAGTCTAGGGACAATCTCTGAAGCAGCAGTCGCCTCCGAAGTTTTCTTTGCACCCCAGAGTAGGGTGCAAATTCTGCTTCAAAACGGTCCTGAGCACTGAAAGGAGGAGGAGCCTCCCGTAAAGATGGCAAACTCTCATCCCACCTCAAGAAAGAGAGCTACGACCAGACACAGAAGTTCAGCAAACGCCCCCTCACGTTTTCAACCATCGAAGTTTCTGCTTGCACGCAGACAAACCAATATACAATTCTAGAAAATAAAACCAGCAGAGCTTTTAGTGACTTTTTTTCCCCCAAAGATTTTACTGTGGTATTTTCAGACTATTTAGAAGACCAATTTGTGAGGATAAACTCCATTGGAGAGTGAAAAGGTGGAACGCAGGTAGCCCCGGAGCTGAGGGACTTTCTTGATGACCGGCAGAAGCTGGGAGTCTACCGTCTTCTGGTCTGCCTTGCGCTGATCTGCAATCTCGTATTTCTGGGGGGAAATGGAAATGCTACTTCAGCCATTTATTCCAGCAGTTCCTGGCCTTCCCTGTTGCCATTTCTAAACAGCAAACCTTGTCAACGTTACTTCCCAACGTGCATCCAAAATTGATCTATTTTGCTTTCCTAACAACACCCCCCTTGGAAGAGGCTGTTTGGACTGTGACCGTATCACTAAATCATTCTGCAGATTCTGATATAAACATTAGGAAGAAGGTCATCGAGATAGGTAATTAAAGATCCTCATGTTAACTTTCTATTTAATCTGCTTTCTTAAATGCAAAGATACTGAAATGCTTTTGGAAATCTATCTACAGATTCTTAAACCAGGAGGGGCATCAGATGCCAGCCTGCCCCCTTGTTGGCTTTTGAGTTACGCAGAATGCAATCTTGGAAGCTCAAGGCTACAAGCGCTGTACCTACCGCTTTCTCAGTATCAAAAATTTCGCCCTCCTGATGTTTGGGCTTACGCAGCTTCTTCTTCTTGAAGTAAACGTCACTGAGGTGCTTTGGAACTTTGACCCCCGAGATATCAACCTTAGTCGAAGTGGCAATGACAAACTTTTGGTGAGCTCTGCGCAGTGGGACACGGTTGATAGCCAAGGGCCCTGAAAACAGAGGACAGAATGATGTACACGGAGAGCTCAGATGGCCAGAGAACATGTATTCCTTCCAGCTGGTGAAGATCCTCCACCTCCAGGAAACGAATCTTTTATTATGATCACTTGCTGCCTTTTTTTTCTTTTTATATCAAGGTTTATTATGCGGAATGGTATAAAATTAAAAAGGACCGTTAACAAGGAAGAGAAAGAGGCTCATAAACGTGAGGTGAGCTTACCTGTCACAAGCAGCAGTCCACTTCCAAGCTGCTTCAAGAAAACCACCCGCTGGAAACAGAAAGGCAGAGGGGAGAGAGTCAGTCGTTGGAATCTCTGCCTGCCTCTTGAATGCCCCCAACAAGAAGAGCCCCGGAGGCCCCCGTTACCTTGCCCCGGTGGCGGCCAGTGAGAAGGATCACCACCGTTCCTGGCGAAATCGAACCCCGCAGCCGCCTCTTGTGGAGGGCAAAATTCTTTTTGCCATGGCTCAGGAGTTTGCGGGGAACGTCCTCCGTGGGGTAGTATCTGGGCTGCAAGGAAGAAAAGAAAGGCCTGGATTCAGAGCTCTGTTTATTTTTATTTTATTTGGTTTATCAATTGCTTACAAGATAATAGGTGTAAGTAAAAACATAGTTATGAATACACGGATACATGTAAGAAAAATAAAAGAAACAATAGGACAGGGACAGTAGGCATGTTGGTGCGCTTATGCACACCCCCTGCAGACCTCTTAGGAAAGGGGTGAGGTCAATAGTAGAAAGTCTAAGAATCATAAGAATAAGAAAGTTAAGAATCAGCCTCTTGAAGGCCGAGGAGGACAGCTCTCTCAGCCGCTTCATTTGGGCCACCAGCTCTTACCATCTTGCGAAGTTTGACCACCCGAGTGCCTCCGTTCTTATCTCCCCCGACGGGCTTTGTAACAGTGGCTGCCTCCTTCTCTTTCTTCTTCTTTTCTATCTGGGGGAGGGAAACAACACCAAAATTGTACCATATCGTTCCTTCCCCAATTTGACTCCCCCATCTGGGCAAGAGTGCCCACCCAAAGTCTCCCCTCCCCCTCCAGTGAGGTCCCTGGTATCCCCAACGCCGCCAGTCCCTTCACCGTTACAGCCCAGTCTCTCTCTCTCTCTCTGTGTTTGACTTTGGTGAATGAAACTTTGCAGGCAATGAAGAAAATCTCATTTGTGTCCAGAGCGACCCTGTGATCTGCATCAACCCAGCTCAATGTCCTCCATGCTCAATGAGGAGTTATCTCGTTTACCTCCCGTAGGAGGTAAAAATAAAGGCAGACCAAGAAAAATTGGTCCACGTATTGTGGCATCCTTTGGCAGATTACAACCACTCATTTTTGAAATGCTTGTCTTCCGTAGATCGATCCACTGTTTCTCAACCATAGCAGCTTGACGTTGGGTGGACTGCAACTCCTAGAATTCCCCAGCCATCCTGGGAGTCGCAGTCCACCCAACTTCAAGCTGCCAGTTTAGATCAAGCTCTTAACACTAAGCGTCGCAAAGGTTCTTCTCTCCTCATACCTTTGTCTCCGGCGCGTTGTATTTCCGCTTGTACATGGCCTTTCGTGCGTACATGGCCGACCGGGAATATTTCCCGATCCCTCGGGCCAGCACCGGATTGCGGCTGGCATGGACCTTCCGGACCCTCCTGGTTTTCTTCTCGCCTGCCATCTAACCAAAAAATAAAAATGGGGAAACCTCCATTTGCAACCCAAGGAAAGCCACAGAGGGATCCAGACTCTGCCTCTTGGTACTCCCTCCTCAAGGCACAATTCTCTACATTGCAAACCCGTTGCACATCTACACCAGACTCCGATACGTGCTTTGCATTTCTTTATTTTTGCAAAGACGTAAGTCTACAAGGAAAGCTAACTTGTATGATAGACCCACTTATTATGCTAAGTTAGGAAGCATCAAGGAACCATTGGGCAGCGAGTTCCATTCCAATGAGCAGAATCTTTGCGGACTACAGAAGCTGCATTCCGATTAACGACTTGAAAATCCCCACGTTATTGGCCGCTATAGGAAGAGGAGCTTTTCCACCCGATGCACGAGGCCTCCAGGCTGGGGGGGACCTGCCCCTCGTTGCGGGCAGGGACTGAGTCGGCTTCCCCGGCCAGGGAAGGAGGCTACTCCAAAGCCCGTGGGTCGTTCCGGGCCAAAAACCTTCCTCTTTGGGGTGGGCATTCCCGGGCGCCCCCTCCTCGCTGTCAGGGGCCTAGGCGGAGTGGCTCCGCGACGCTTCGGAAGGATACGGCAGCCCGGGGAGAGCCAGCCGGCCTTCCCGGGGACACCGCCGGCCTAATCTTTCGCTCGGCCCCAGCAGAAGCAGACCAGCGCCGCCCGCCCAAAGCCCCCGGAGCATCCCCGCCCGGCCTATGCCCGGCCCGGTGGTTCTCCGAGGCGGATGGCGGTGGATGGGAATGCCGGGCCCCGGGAGGAAATCGCCACGGCCGCACCATCCTTACCTTGGGCAGAAGGGAAAAGAGGCAATATCCGGGGCCTCGGCGCTGAAGAGCAGGCGCGTGACGTCACCGGGCGTGCCCCCAAGCACTCTGGGAGAGGTAGTTCGCTTCGGACTGGGCGCCCTCCCGAGAACTAACTCAGGATTCAAGGCGGTTTCCCTCCGTCTTTGGTGCCTTTCACGTTTTATCTCCTACAGGCCTTATTACGTGGTCGTTGATGCCACTGCTGGCTGGAGAATGCTGGGAATTGAAGTCCACAAGGCGGCCTATCTTAACAGAAACACTTTCCCATATCTTGATAAAATAGCTCTGATTCCTAAGGTGCAATAATAATAATAATAATAACAATGAATACATGTTATATTTTATTTCTTTCCTGAGCAAGGCCGCCCAGGACAGGGCAGCGCAATGGGCTGGAGAAGACAAGTCTCATTAGGCACTGAAAGGGTGCTCGCTACAGAGACGACGCAGCCTAGAGCGGAAACAGCGTGTGGCCGTTCTAGGCGGCGCCCGCCTCTATGCTCAGAACGACAGGCGACCCTGCCCCTTCCTCGCCATGGTGGGGGGGCGGGCGGGACTGGTCGCGCGGCGATGACGTCCTAGGCATCGCGACGGATCGCTCCTCGGGGCTCTTTCTGCCTTCCCCTCTCCCGGGCCTGGATGCGGCCACGGCCGGGCCGACTTCGGTTCGCCTCCTCCCGGCCCGGGCTCCCCGCGAGACCCAGGGGCCCCATGTGAGGAAGACGGAGGCGGGAAGATGACCTCGAGGAGGTGAGAAGCGGGGGGGGGGAGGGGGAGAGGAAGGCTCAGGCCCCGCCCCTTCGGGGCCAGGGGTACCCAGCTTGCCTCCCTCCCCACTGCCGTTGCCATGGGGATGAGGGGGGCGCGGGGCGGCCTGCGTGCCCCCCCTCCTTGGAGGGCCTGCTGCTGGCCTTCCAGTCCTAGGTGTGCGGGACTACAGTACCCATCCTGCCCTCCCAGAGGAGCCTGGTCGTCCAGCATTTCCGGCCTGCTTTGGCTCACTGGAAAGCGACCACAGCTCCCATCCTCCCCAGCCAGCAGGTTCCAACGCGGGTTCCCCCTGCTGTGGCAGCCTGTAGCCTCCCAAGCCCTGCTGGCTGGGGAGAATGGGGGCTGTGATCCAAAAGAACCAGTTTGGAGGAGGGGGGCGGAATCTGAGACTACCAGGAAGTGGAGGGTGGAGGCCCCCGCCTCCAGTTCAGGCCAGAGGGAGAGAAAGGGCCGCCCTTCCCTCTCAGCCGCTCGCCTCGGACACAGCAGCCACAGGACGGGAGGCTCCAGAGTGGCTTCCAAGGGATAAAACCTTCCACCCATGGTTGCTCAGGCTGTAGTGGGAGTGGGCCGCAGCCCTTTCACAAACACGGCCAAGCTGGTATCTTAGTTTCACTGCCCCAAGATGCGTCCAGGGAGTAATTAAGGGGGGGGAGAGCTGACCAAAGCCACTCATAGGGTTCAAAAGAGGACCCAAGGTGAGCAGAAGAGATACAGTATGATGAGCGTCCTTACCTGTTGCCTTTAAGCCTGGGATGGGTAACCTCTGACCCTGGCTGCCAAAACCTAATAGTCTAAATTTTATGCTAAAATTACCTCCTAAATTATTTTGCAGTAGGAAGCAGGAAAAGTGCATTGCAAATCTAAAACAGCCACATTTGGGGGAGGGTCCTCAAAACTTGCACATAAATTTGGTGTCAGATAAATAAATGTAAGAAACTAGAGGTAGCTGCTATAACACAAAAATTATAAAATCATAAAATAATTTTTTGGGGCACCTGATAAGCAAAACAGGAGCTGTATATGTAGAAGTCTGATTGGGGTGGGGGGAGGATGGGGAGAGGCAAGAACCAAGAAATGAGAAATAACTTTTCCCCCCGCAGTGTTCCAATGATGATAAAACCACACTTCTCAACCAAATGTGATCAGAACATTCTGCTATATAATTGAGTACCAATTAGCAGAAGAATGACTTAAAGTAGTGTGTTCTTTTAAGAAGAGCCCAATTATTTTTCTTTTCAAAAAATTACAGTGAACTCACCTCTTTCATTAGTTCATTATGAGGCTTGACGTCGAGTAATTGGAGGTCTTCTTTTATAAAATCCCATCCAGGCTGTCAAAAATAGGATGGCTTTTTTTCTGGAAAAAGAGTTATTTTCTGCCCTAATGATCCATTACCAGTTTTGCTAGTTTAGTGTTAGAGTTCATCTATTAGCATAGGGAGTGCTGGTCGTGTTTTGAGATGAACTATTTCAGTTTGACTTAACATAAATTATGATGTATGAATTGTTAAAGCTGGATCCTGTTTTTTTGCTTTTAATTAATAGCCGCCTTTTATATTTTGCTAAATGTCCAAATACTGCCTCTAGGAAAAGCTAACTCTACAATTCTTTTAACAATTTTTCACCTTGCTCCAATCCCAGCATCGTCTTTCTCTCCTGGGGTTGAAAAAAAAAGAGTCCAGCCCGCCCCCAACTATGGAACTAGGTCGCCTTGTCAGCCTTAAATGTGCTTGCTGCATTTTGTGGCCTCTCCTTTGATCCTGTCTCCGGAACCACTTAGCATAACTGGCCGGCCTACGTCTGACTCGAGACACCCCCGGAGCCTTCTATTTCCAACCGGTGACAAAATGCTGCTTCCCACTTGGTGACATATATACCCGGAGTGCCAGGGAGCCTTTTGCCACCCGTGCTGCTGCAAATAGAATCCTCGCCTCGGTCGGCCGTCCCCGGAAGTTGCTCTCTGCCCCTGCGCTCTGCCGAAAGGTCGCAGGACGGGGCTTTTTCTGGCCCCCACCTTCGCCCTTCCGCAGTGGCTCTGCTCATCCTGCCCTCAGAGAAAACCCCTAACCCCCTTCGCAATGCTGAGCTGGCCATCAGTGGGCAGCCTGAAGTATCCCTGGGGGTGACCCCTAAAAGTTGTTCATACGATTGGTCCTTGATTTACAACCACAGTTGAGCCTGAAATTTTCGTGGTTAGTTAAGTTTTGCCCCGTTTGTTAAGCGATTCACTGCCCTTGTTAAGCAGGCTGTGCGGTCTTTAAGCGGGTCTGGCTTTCCCCCGTTGACTTGGCTTGTCGGAAGGTGGCTGGGAAGGTCGCAAGTGGTGATCCCCATGACCCTGGGACCCTGCAACTGTCATAAGTACATGCCAGTTGCCAAGGGCCCGAGTTTTTATCGCCTGACCCTGGGGGTTGCTGCCCATCGCGGCCCTGTTCCTCGGTCGACTGCCGGCCTTTATGGGAGCATATAAATATGCCCGCTCTAGTTGGCTCCCTGGGCCTTTGAGGAACGTCAGGTTTTCCCCCTCAAGTGGGAGAGTGCAGATTTAGCCAAAATGTTCATTTAGTTAACCAGATTTCTAAAAATAAGCCGGACTGGGTTGATAGGAGAGGAGGCGAACGAAGGTTCAGCCCCTTGGGGGACCTTCAACCAGCAAGGTGCTGGCTTAGTTGCTGAGAAGGGGGGGGCTGTGGGGGGCTGGGTCTGCGAGATATATGGAGCCCGTTTGCCCCGGAGTGAAGAGAGGGGCCCGGCTCACCTAAGCCACGTAGCCCCCCTGATCGTCCTCATCCTCCTCCTCCTCACCCTTGAGGAGAATCCAGAATCAGAGCGGATCGACCCTCAGGTCGGAGTTTCGTGGCAACAATGAGGTTGTAGCTGCCTTCTCGGTTTCTGTTGACGGTTGTGTGGGAGCAACTGGTGGTCTCAATCAGCTTCCCAGGGACAAGGAGATGCCTCTGCATTCGGATTGTTTCATCCCACTTTAATCCTGGTCTGCAAGGGGCCGGTTCTTACTCCCTCCCGGTTTTCCCTGCTCCCTGAAGCGGGGAGAAGTCCTGGGACAAAGATCTCGGGTCCAAATGAAACAGCCTGAATCCTCAGTCTGAATCCTTCATTGCCATCCACATAGTAAATATATAGTATGCTTGTAGTAATGTTTAGTGGGGAAGGTGTACAATCAAGAGTTTTGTGCTTGGTTTCCTTCTTGGGGTAATACTTCTCACGTATCTCTATCTGTATTCTTTTTTTTATATATATTTTTTCTTTTCTGCCTATCTTGTTCTCTTTTCTTTTTATCTTTTTCTTGACTCTTCTTTACGTGTTGTCATGTTTCTCTTTTACTTCTGTAAAAACTTTCAATCAAAAAAAATTTTTTTTAAAAAAAGGAAACCCTTTTCTCTTACTCAAAGGGGTCTTTCCAAACCTCCCCCTCCTCCTTTTTTCCCAGATGGTTTCACCCCAACATTACCGGAGTGGAAGCCGAGAACCTGCTCCTGACCAGAGGAGTTGATGGCAGCTTCCTGGCTCGGCCCAGTAAAAGCAACCCTGGGGACTTCACCCTCTCAGTCCGGTAAGTCCACCGAGAGGACCTTGTAGCCGTCTTTGGGTTTTCGGAAATGTAATGTAATTTTACAGAAAGTTTCAAGAAAACAAAAGTAAAAGGTTTAACTAGCTCAGTCTCTTTTTTCGGGGGGAGGCTGCCTTACAGTAAGTGCAAGCAGTAAGAGAGTAACGTCCCTCTTTGCAAGCTGTTCCTGGCTAAGACCTCCCTTCCTCTCTCCTGATCCAAGAATGTTCCTTCCTTCCTTCCCTCTTTCCTTCCTCTCTTCTTCCTTCCCTCCTTCCCTTATCCCTCCTTGCTTCTTTCTCTCCCTTCCTCTCTCCCGATCCAAGAATCTTCCTTTCTCCCTTCCTCCCTTCCCTTCCTTCAATTAGAGAGGAGGAGGTTTGGAGTCAGCCCTGCCATCCATCCCCATCAGCTCTCTTTTCCTTTCTCTCTTCCTCTGGACCGGCCAGGCGCAATGGGGCAGTCACTCACATCAAGATCCAGAACACGGGCGACTACTATGACCTCTACGGGGGGGAGAAGTTTGCCACGTTGGCAGAGCTGGTCCAGTACTACATGGAGCACCACGGGCAGCTCAAGGAGAAGAACGGGGACGTGATCGAGCTGAAGTACCCGCTCAACTGTGCGGATCCCACTTCCGAAAGGTGAGCGGGGCAGTGGCATCTGGGAGTCCGGCCTGGGTGGGGTCCCTCCTGGGCGGAAGGGCCCGGAGGCAGTCCGGAGGCCATGGGGTCCCCTCCCTCGGCTCGGTCTCCAGCCTGCTGCGATTCAGAGCCAGCTGAGGTCTTAGGGCAGGGGTCTCTCCAAACTGGGCAACTTTAAGACGTGTGGACTTCAACTCCCAGGATTCTCCAGCCAGCATAGCGCTACTAACTTAACGGCAGTGATTCGCTTAATGACTGGCAAGAAAGGTTCTCAAATGGGGCAAAACTCACTTAACAGAAATGTTGGGCTCAATTCTGGTCATAAGTTGAGGACTATTTGTATCACGAACTGTCCAGGCTGGGCATCTGGAGTTCCCATCCTTTGGAAGGAAAAGCAGCTCCTACCTTAATTGCCTTAATACGAGCTCCTTCTGAAACTCATTGAGCACATTGTCCTCTTCAGCTGCTGCTGCTGCTTCTGCAAGAGCTTCTCCCTTTCAGAGGCAGCTCTGATTTGCCCCCCGGGGGAGGAGAGGGGGGGCTCCCTCTCCCGTGAAGGGCCAGGGAAGCTACTCGGGGGGGGGGGGGGCGTCCTGACTCTTCCGCTGCCTCCCCGCAGGTGGTTCCATGGTCACCTGTCTGGAAAGGAAGCAGAAAAGCTGCTGACGGAAAAAGGGAAGCACGGCAGCTTTTTAGTCCGCGAGAGCCAAAGCCACCCAGGGGACTTCGTGCTTTCCGTCCGGACTGGGGATGACAAAGGAGAGAGCAACGATGGGAAGTCCAAAGTCACACACGTCATGATCCGCTGCCAGGTAACAGCGCAGGGATGGAGGTGAAGTGAGGCCGATGGGGAGGCAGGTGGGAAGCCCGGGGGGGGGGGGGGGGTTCTGCACCGGTCCAAAGGTGGGAAAGGAGGAGGACCAGTCCTCTCGATGGTTTGCCTTGGTCAGGAGGCAGCTGGTTAAAGGCCAGGGCCTCGGGATATCAGAACCGAATTGATCGCACTCTTTGCTGAATAAAAAGCTGCCCGATTCGTCAGCTGGATGGCCTGGGCTTTGGCTTATGGAGGAGGTGTCCAATCTTGGCCACTTTAAGACCTGTGGACTTCAACTCCCAGAATTCCCTAGCCAGCATGGGGGAATTCCCCCAGCTGGGGAATTCTGGGAGTTGAAGTCCACCGGTCTTAAAATTGCTAAGATTGCACACCCCTGGGCCTAAGGAAACAGCAGCTGCGTCACCTGTCTGGTACCTCTGCAGTATATGGAAAAGAAGGAAGGAAGGAAGGAAAATGAAGGCCCCAGCTAAGTTGGAATTGTGTGTCCACTGTCTCAAAAGGGAGAGTGGGGGTTTTTTCTTGACCAAGACTGCTTCCAATCACAGGCATGGAGATGTAACTCAGCCAGCCGGTGGATTAAGAATAACAGAGAGAAATTTAGACTCTTTAGGAAGTTAGGTAGATCTGAGCACCCTGGGGGGAAACCCCTCCCCCCCCCATGAGCCTCACCCGCCCCCCCCCCCCCCCCCTCCCTCCCTCCCTCCCTCCCTCCCTCCTTAGGATATGAAGTACGACGTTGGAGGAGGGGAGAAGTTCGACTCCTTGACAGACCTGGTTGAGCATTACAAGAAGAACCCGATGGTGGAGACTCTGGGGACTGTTCTTCAGCTGAAGCAGGTGAGGAAGGCCAGCCAGGGTGGACTTTGGCTCCCGGTGTAGGGAGGCACCAGCCGCGGTCTGTGCCAGTGGTCATAACGCCCGGGCATTCAGGTGGCCCTTGCCCTGCTGGTGGGAATCGCTTGAGGTTTCATTGCCACCGGCCTTAGGCCGCGCATGGCAGCATCTCTGCTGGGATCCGCTTTGCCAGCTGGATCCTTCGCAGCCTTCCTAGAAAGTTTGCAGCTTGACGTTGTCACATTCAGAGGCCTTAGATCCCTCTCCAGCTTCCAGCTGACCCTGGACTGGATTCCATCCTTGGGAGCTGCTGGGCTCCTCCTTTCGGGGCGTGGTGGAATCTGGCGCTGAGGTGCAGCAGGGAGAGGCTTTCCCGAGGAGCTCAGAGGCAGATCAGCCTCCAGTCCTTGGTTTGGAGGAAGAGGACCAGAAGGGATCCTCCCTAAAGCTTCACAGGCGTTATTTGATAGCCACGCAGAATGTGCTTTAGTCTGGCAAGATTCCTGTCTACAGGCGGATGGCAGTAAACTACTGTGAGCCACCCGTCGTATCGTTCTTGATTCGTCATGCCTGACGTGTGTGCATTATTTGACTCTTTCCCTCTCTCTCCCTCTCTCCCCCCCCCCCCGCTAGCCTCTCAACACCACCCGCATCAACGCAGCTGAGATTGAGAGCCGGGTGCGAGAACTGAGCAAGTTGGCTGAAACTACCGACAAAGTGAAGCAAGGCTTTTGGGAAGAATTCGAGGTACTTTGGGGAGAGGGTCTGTCCTGTCCTCACCAAGGGCCTGCTTGCTTGCTTGGGATGGAGAAGTGTGAATGTCCCTTTGGCAGCTGGGGAGGGGGCCACGGGCGTCTAGATGCCCGGCGGGGTTAACAGCAGGTGAGTTCTCAAGGAAATCTTCGGAGCAGCTCGTAAACCAAGATAACAGAACACAGATAAGACCCTTTTGGGTCGCACGGAAAGAGCTGGGCGTAGGCCTTCAACTCCCAGCATTCCCCAGTTGAAAAACACCACCTAGTGGGTGGAGCTGGGTGCCTCCATATGCAAATGTCCGTGTGCTCAACTTTGGGGATTGATTTGGCTTGCGAACGTGGCTGCTGGCAGTCTGGGACTCGGAGCCTTTCATTGCTGGGTAACAGAGTGAGCTGCTCCCGGGCAGAAAAGGGCCCCTTGAGAGGAGACGGGCCACAACCGCCTGGATTCCCCTGCTTTTCCCACAGAGGGCCAGAGCCTGTCTCTGTGTCATGCTGGGAGAGGAACACTAGGGGGAGCCCCAATTCCATTTGGTCACCTCGCACGAAGCTCGCCTGTGCTTAGCCTTCGGGTGGGCCGGAAGCCATGGGCGTCGTAATCCAGGCGGGGAGAGGTCTCTGGGTGGGGGGGACGCCTTCTGGCTCTCTTCCCCTGCTGGAGGAGGGGGTCAGAAGGCCGTTCCTGGACCCTTCGCGACGCCCTTCCTTGCTTTCCCAGACTCTCCAGCAGCAGGAATGTAAGCTCCTCTACAGCCGGAAAGAAGGACAGCGGCAGGAGAATAAGAACAAGAACCGATACAAGAACATTTTGCCTTGTGAGCACAGATCTCTTTCCCAATTCTAACCCAGAGGTTGGGTTTTTTTTGGGGGGGGGGGTGGATGATGACCCACCTGCAGGTAGACATTTGGGGTGGGCGGTGAAGTTTTCCCTCCAACTCTTCTCCCCGTTTTTAAAGGCTTAATATCATTTTTCTCAGCCTTTGTGCAAACGGCAGAAAGATATCCCGCTTCTGTGGCTGCATTGCTGGCATTTGAGCAGAAAAATCCCTACAAACTTTGAGGCATCTGGGTCTGATGGGGGAAGGAGGGCCGGGGAGTGATCTGCAGCCTGCTGGTTGCACGCCCCTTTCCTTAAAAAGTTGGGACTTTGCTGGAACCTTTGTTTCCTGCAGTGGAATCCTCTCTTAGTATCGTGGAGTTCCTGGCATCTGCTGTGGGGCAGCCTCGGAGCCACGGCAGAAGCCTGGGGGGCTGGCAGCCACAGATACTCGCAGCCTGACTGAGCAAGGGCTTCAGGGAATCAGGCACTTGACTTGCAGAAGTTTTCAGGCTCCTCCTGGGCTGCTAAGGACTCTTCATTCCTGCAGTCCTCCCGGCAGCTGCCTGAACTGCTGCTGACAAGTCAAGAGTTTGCGGTTGCTGGTTGACAACCGTTCCCTGGATTCGGAGTGTGTCTTTCCCCCCCCCCCTTTCTAGTTGACCACACTCGGGTCGTCCTTCACGACGGCGATCCAAATGAGCCGGTTTCGGATTACATCAATGCCAACATCATCATGGTAAGAGGGCAGCCAGTCTGCCACCGAGGGAGTTTAACGGACCGCCATTTCCTTCTCTGGTGGGGCAGGGTGGCCTCGCTTGGAGGTCCCCCAAGCCGAGCAGGGAGGGACCTCCGGAGCTTTTCCTCCAAGTGTGGAAGCAGCCTTAAGTCTCCCAAGCATCCCGGGGCCCCTCCCTCCCGCTGACCCTCCGGTCGGTTCACAGCCTGAATTTGAATCCAAGTGCAACAACGCCAAGGCCAAGAAGAGCTACATCGCCACCCAGGGCTGCCTGCAGAACACGGTGAACGACTTCTGGCGGATGGTCTTCCAGGAGAATTCCCGCGTGATCGTCATGACCACAAAGGAAGTGGAGAGGGGGAAGGTAAGGCCGGGGGGGGGGGGGGAAGGGACCCACCGAACTCCTGGGATTGAGGGGAGAACGGCAGCTCAGCCAGTGGATTTGAATCCAGGGCTTCATTGGGCCAAGCGTGATGGGACACACAAGGGATTTGTCCCGGGTGCAGGAGTTCTCCGTGTACATTCCAAGCAACAACAGAAGAACGATAACGATCGCCCTCAGCCCGCTGCCCCCAAATTTTCCGGGCGAATTAAACCTGAGGCCATATAAGCCTTTGCTCTCCTCTTCCCTTGCTAGCTCAAGATCAGGTGAGGCACTAATACCGCTCTATAAAAGCCTTTTAGTAAGGCCACACCTAGAGCCCTGCATCCAGTTTTGGTCACCACAATATAAAAAGATGTTGAGACTCTGGAAAGAGTGCAGAGAAGAGCAACCAGGATGATTAGGGGACTGGAGGCTAAAACATACGAAGAACGGTTGCAGGAACTGGGCCTGGCTAGTCTAGTGAAGAGAAGGGCCAGGGGAGGCAGGATAGAGGTCTTCCAGTATTTGAGGGGCTGCCCCAGGGAGGAGGAGGAAGGGGTCAAGCTATTTTCCAAGGCACCCAAAGGCCAGACAAGGAACAATGGATGGAAACTGACCAAGGAGAGATTCAACCTGGAAATAAGGAGAAACTTTTCTGACTGGGAGAACCATCAACCCCTGGAACAGAAGTTGCCTTTGGAAGTTGTGGGAGCTTCATCCCTGGAGGCTTTCAAGAAGGGACTGGACTTCCATCTGTCAGAAATAGTATAGGGTCTCCCGTTTGGGCAGGGGAGTTGGACTGGATGACCTCCAAGGTCCCTTCCAATTCTGTTAATCCCTGCCCCCCCTTCCTGGTCTTCCAGAGCAAATGTGTGAAGTACTGGCCGGATGAGCACGCCCTGAAGGAATACGGCGTGATGCGCGTCCGTAACGTCAAAGAGAGCACCGCTCACGACTACACGCTACGCGAACTCAAGCTCTCCAAAGTTGGGCAGGTACGTTTCCAGAAGACGCCGAGTGGCCGTCGGCCGGGCATCTCAGCCATGCGGTGGAGGTTGCAGGGGGATGGGGGGGGGGCTGGGATGCCCGCCATGCCTGGTAGGACTCTGGGGAAGGAGCTTGGCTCGAGGGGCGGAAGGAGGACTCAGGGAAACCTCCTCTCCCTTGGCTCATCTTCTGCTGTCCTTTCTCCCACATCGCTGTTGGGTTTCACGATGGGCCTCTGGGCAGATGAGAGGCAGGGGGACCCTAAAAAGGGATCGATCCTAAACCACAAAGAATTTAAGTTGAGGATGAAAGAGCAACTATGTTTGTTCTTCCCAGAGATTAAGAAGGAGGACACGAATATACAACATCTATGGGACGCTACGAAAGCATATCTGAGGGGCGTGACTATAGCACGTACGGTGAAAGAAAATAAAAAGGAGAAGAAACCACAAAGTTTAGAACAAAGGTCTTCCAACTTGGCAAGTTTAAGACTTGTGGACTTCCAACTCCCAGAATTCCTGAGCTAACCTGACTGGAGGAGGAATTCTGGGAGTTGGAAGTCCACAAGTCTTAAAGTTGTCAAGTTTGAAGAGCCCTGGTTTAGAAGATGAATTCAGAAGATTAGAAGAAGAACTAAAAGAGAACCACAGAAAGAAAGCTTAAAGCAACAAATGGGATTAGTCAAACATAAATGAGCATTCTTGAAAAAGGAGAGCTAGCACCACAAATAAAAAGGAATAATCAAAATTTATTTGAAATGGCCAATAAAACGGGGAGATGGCTAGCACATCAATTGAAAAAAAAGAAAAGAAAAAAGCTGGATTAGCGAACTGCAAAATGAGCTTCTCCCAACCTCTGAAGGGCTCATCTAAGCATCTCTGACTCTCTTCCAGGGCAACACGGAGCGGACGGTGTGGCAGTATCACTTCCGGGCTTGGCCAGACCACGGGGTGCCTAGCGATCCTGGCGGCGTCCTGGATTTTCTAGAGGAGGTGCACCACAAGCAGGAGAACATCTCAGAGGCTGGTCCGGTCGTCGTCCATTGCAGGTATCCGTAGAACCGCGTTTCTCAACCGTGGCAACTTTTAAGAACTGTGGACTTCAATTCCCAGAATTCCCCAGCCAGCTGGCTGGAGAATTCTGGCAGTTGAAGTCCACAAGTCCTAAAGTTGCCAAGTTTGGAGACCTCTGGTCTAAAGGTAGTAAGGGAGAACATTTATGCGTCAGTTCCAAAGCTGAAAACTTAAACCGTTTCCCGCGGCCCTTCTGAGTTAATGGACTCGTTGCTGTTCGATTCCTAGCTTTGAAATTGAAGGAAAATGTGAAAGCATTATGGTGTGATGGGCAAGGATGTTCAGCCTGGGAGGAGGAACGGGACTCGAACCCGTGTGACAGTCTCTCTCTCTCTCTCTCTCTCTCTCTCTCTCTCTCTCTCTCTCTCTCTCTCTCTCTCTCTCTCTCTCTCTTTTTTTCTTTCTTTCTTTCTTTCTTTCTTTCTTTCCTCCCCCTCCACAGTGCCGGAATTGGTCGGACTGGGACATTCATTGTGATCGACATTCTCATCGATGTCATCCGCGAGAAAGGTGAGCCCCAGCAGACTTGACGGCTTCCCCACCTGGAAGGTTGAGAAGAAGAAAGACCACGGCCCGTGGTGGAGGGTGGAGGTCCACCCACATCCCCCTCTCCCCAATAGGCCAGGTTTCCTGGGAGTTGTAGTCTCACAACGGAGGAGCGCAGGACTGATGGGGTTGGCGTACCTACTGCCCTGAGCATAAGCAGGGCTTTTGAACGCCGGGCGTTAAGTGAGCCCAGCCATGGTGCTTTCTGGATCGTGGTTTATGGGATGAGATGGACATGCCACAGGCACGAGGGCTTGTTTGGAAACCACGATTCAAACCAATCCCTGTGGTTGCCCCAATGGGGCTTTTTCCTAAAGGCAGCTGGACTTTCTCCTTTGAGAACCGAAGAAGCTTCTTGAGTGAGAAGCGAAAGGTTTTCAAGGAAAAATGCAAGAAAGCCCAGTTGCCTTTTGGGACAATCCTGACCTGGAGGAGCGAGAACCACCCCTGACGAATCCGTGTGGCTTCCCCACGAGGGCCCCTCCTCATGCTCTGCGGCTGACCCCCCCTCCCTTCCTCCCTTCTCCCCCCCCCCCCCCCCACCTCTCCAGGGGTGGACTGCGACATCGATGTCCCGAAGACCATCCAGATGGTGAGGTCACAGCGGTCAGGGATGGTGCAGACCGAGGCCCAGTACCGGTTTATTTACATGGCGGTCCAGCACTACATCGAGACGTTGCAGCGCCGGATTGAGGAGGAGCAGGTACCAGCCCAGGAGAACCTTTGTAGCTCAGGGTGGAGATGAGGGGCCCTGGGCGCCCTCTGAGCTTGATGGTTTGCTTGCGGACGTTTCATGACCCAGCTAGGTAACGTCACCCGTGCTAGTCAAGTCCAGTCACTAGCACGGATGGTGTTACCTAGGTTGAGTAATGCAACATCTGCAAGAAACCTCAGAGGGCCCCTCAGGAACAGGTGCCTCTGGCCTACCTAGCAGGGAAGGTGGTCTCTTGGGCTCTGGGGCCGAGAGCTGGAGAGACTTTGGACAAGACGAGTTGCCAGTTGGAGAAAGGTGGAGAACATGGCCCCCACCCTCCCCCCGGGGGTATTTGCTGCCCTCTCGTCTCTTAGTGACCCGTAGGCGAGACGGCAGCTTGGTCACCACGTGGCTACCCTACTAAAGTGTTGGGCCGGGGCTGACCAGGATCTAACCTGGGAGAAGGCGAATTCACCCATCCGAAGAAGCCATTGGGGAGGAGTTTAGTCCCGGCAGCCAGGTTTCCCCATCCTGGGAATCCTGAACCAACCAAGCCTCCTTATGTTAGGTGGGGGGGGGAGGGGTGGAATTAAGGGGAGGGGGCTCTTTGAGAAGGACCAAGAGCGCGTTGCTTGGAGGGAGGGACGTGACGGTGATTCCCTCTCCCCTTCCTTCCCTTTCAGAAGAGCAAGCGGAAAGGACACGAGTACACCAACATCAAATACTCCTTAGCGGATCAGGCCAGCGGAGACCAAAGCCCTCTCCCGCCGTGCACCCCCAGCCCGGCCTGCCCCGAGTGAGTAGCGGGCTCTCCTCCCGTCCCCCTCCCTCGATCGCTTGGGCTCTCCCGGACCCCAGAGGGACGGGAGGGAGGAACCTGGCTAGGGCAGGGCTGGGGGGGTTCCTAAATTGCTCCTTGAACGCCGCCCCCCTCCCCTCCCCACTTCCCAGGATGAGGGAGGACAACGCCATGCGAGTCTACGAGAATGTCGGTCTGATGCACCAGCAGAAAAGCTTCAGATGAGACGTCGGCGAGGGTTTCCGCGCGAGGAAGGCAAGTCTAGATGGCAGGGTTCCTGCATGACTGACCTTAAGCAGCCGGGGAGGGTACAGCAGCCACAATGGGCGACTCTGGGGCCCCCTGGGGGTATTTCCATCGTCCCCAGGCGAAAAAATTCCTAGGAAGAGGAACATTTAATGAAGCCAAGCCGCTAGTCCTCAGGAAAAGGGGAACGTTAAGTCTGGTCTGAGGTCCTTATCTGAGAGGGTGGTGCTTAATAATTTGCCGAGGAACTCTGGCAGTTGAAGTCCCCACGTCTTAAAGTGGCCACGCTTGGAGACCCCTGCCCCAGACGTCCTGGGCGGATGCTGGCTCCCTCCCTCCCGGAAGGCAGGCTGGGTCCGTCTGGGGTGCCTCTCGTCTAAAAGGCCGTTCTCTTCCTGTCCTTTTTGCAGAATTCTCTCTCTCGCGCGCTCTCTCTCTCGTCTCTCGGTTTTTTTAAAACAAGGAAGCGCGAAACAAGCTGGGGTCCGTCCCACGAAGACCACCGCTGCCTCCTTTTTATTTATGACGTTTTAACCCTTCGATAATAAGCGGAACTCAAGAGCTCCTTTCAAAGAAACGCCTAATTCGTTTTCTTAAAAGAAAAAGAAAAAAGTCTAATTTTTACAGTTGATTTTTGTTTTTCTGTTGATGCCGTTTTCCTTCTTGAACCTATGATTATTATTATTATTATTATTATTTTGCCTCCAATGCAGACCAATACTTCGTTGTACTTGAACATTTCCCCCCCACACACACACCCCTTTCTTTCTGTCCTGGACAATTGTTGCAAATTTGTTTTTTGTTTTTTTAAAGCTATCTCTTTCCCTTAAAAATTATATATATTAGAAAAAATAAGTCGTGGGAAAACTGATACTTTGGGGAAGAAACCAATTATGTTAATCAGAAAGAATCCGGGGCCGTTTTTCAAGCCAGCGAACTCTCTGGAACGAGGTCTGGCTGTCCACCCATTTGATCAAGTTTCTAGTCCTCATGAAATTCCATGCCGGGGGTCTTTTTTTTTTTTTTCTTTTTGGTCCCTTTTCCTTGAAACGATAAATTCTAGAACTTCCAATGATGCGTTTTTGCACCAGATTAAACCGGTTTGTTTAGAGCCTGTTCCATGGGCTGGCTCTTTGCTGTTGGGGAGGGGCCTGGGGGTGAGCACCTGGGGGGGGGAGAATTTCAGCAGGGGGACCCCCGACCCCCCCCCCCCCCCCCTCCCCCCCCCCCCCCCACCCCCAAAGGGTCATTGCCTCTCCGGGAATCTTTCGTGAGGATCCCTGGGTTCACCCAGGCCTCCGTCATATCAGGAAGAAGAGGAAGATGAAAAAGGACGAAGAGGCTAAGTTGATTTTTAGAGAGGGACGACGCATGTCTGAATGGACCTTCGGAGCGACCCATCCTGGCTGCTTTTCCAGTTTCCGCCACATCGTCTTCAAAGGACAAATTGGCAGGGGGGTGGGGAATCCAGCTTTGGGAAGAGAGCCGGGACAAGGAGGGAGGGGAGGGTTTTAAGCTGCATCTCCTTCAGTGCTCGACTCTCTTTGGGGGCCCTTTTCCCGTCTGCTCCCCCAAGCCAGATCCAGCTGGTGTAGAGGTGCCCAGCGTAGGGCTATCGTGCGTCTCAAGCCAGGCGGCTCCTCCGTGGTGGTGAAGGAGATTTGAGGTGGGGGGAGAAGTCCAGCGGCCTCTCTTGGCTGGGTGGGTGGGTGGGTTGGGGTGCTGTTCAAAGAGCAGGAAGCAACAACCTCTGGAGAGTTTCCGGGAGGGGGTCTCTCTGCACCTGGGCAGCGTGTATAGGAGGAAGCTGGCTCCGTTGTGGTTTAAGGCAGGGCTCCCCAACCTTGGCCACTTTAAGGCTTAGGGACTTCAACTCCCAGAATTCATGCTGTCTGGGGAAACTCTGGGAGCTGAAGTCCACAAGCCTTTTTAGCGGCCAAGGTTGGGGAGCCCCACTTTAGGGGATGCTGGCTTGTTTTGAAGCCAACGCTGCTTAAATCGGCTTCTTGCCTGGGCTGCGTGGTCCTTGTGCTCACCACAACGGTCACAATCTTCCTTCAGCACTCGGGTGGCTCTCTCTCTCTCTCTCTCTCTGTCTATCTCTCTCTCTCTCTCCAGCTTCTGTAATCGAGCCCCAATTAGGGAGTGAGGGGATGCCTGTTGTTCTTTTGCCGCCTCCTTTCTTCTGGCTCTTTTCTCAGAGGCTGTTCCTCTTCTTCTGTGCCTTTTCCAAGTGGTCTCCTTTCCTTCCTTTTTAATTTATGAATAAGCTTGTGACAGGAAAGAAAGAAAGAAAGAAAGAAAGAAAGAAAGAAAGAAAGAAAGAAAGAAAGAAAGAAAGGCAACGCAGAAAGGCCTCCGTGAGAGGCCACCAGAGTATTTTTCACCTAGCTAGAAATAGCTCTTCCTGTCTCCTCCTTCCTCCTCCTTTCCGAGCAGCATATGAAGTATTCTACCCAGAGTATTACATGAAATGTAAAAGTAAATGGAGAGAAATATAGATATATATAGATACATATACACAAACGCTTTCCTTGAAAAGGACCCGCCTCTCAAGAACGTTGTTGGTTTCTACGCTGATCAGAGTCCGGGCTCCCACGGTCAGGGAAGGGGGTCTGTATGTTTCCCAGCTGACGTGAGACCTGCTTGAGTTGGTGTCTCGGCATCAGGAGTTGGCGGGGTCCCCTCGGCTGTGGCCCCCGTCGTAGCCCCCCATCTGCTGCCTTTCGACGGCCGGTTCCCTGGGCTGTTTTCTGGCGGTTTGGCGCGTGGCGTTCCCCCGACCGACCAATCACATCCAGGAAAAAACAACAACTCTTTTTAAGACTCTATTTATGGGTGTTGAGTGTAGCTGCATTGCTGGCTGTGCTGAGAATTATGTTTTTGTTTTTTTTAATTGCGCCAAGGCTTCTCGGGAGGAAAGAAAGAAAGAAAGAAAAAGCTCTGTTTGCAAAACACCAGAACTTAATAAATGAATGAATAAATAAATACATTTTCTTACCCCCTGTTTCCCCGAATGCTTTTCTCCAGTGGGGCTGGCTTAAATCGGGAATGACCCCAGCGCTCGGATTTTGCTTTGGTAAAACTTCATCCGCAAGTCCTGATAATGCAGAGGGAGAGATCAATTATGCGAGGCTGGGCCGTTTTGAGTGTCTTCTTCGGCAGCCCTGCTTTCCTCCCCACTGCCGGCCTTCCTGCGGCTCCGACAGAATTCGGCGTCTTTGCACCAGAAACTGGGAGGGGAAGCCGGGCCTTTCTCGAGACACGCACATCTGCCTGGAGAAGAGCATCATGAGATCCAGGATCCCAGAAGGCCATTTGCTGAACTTTTCGATCATGAGGACTAGAGGATTGCAAACATCAAAACTGTTTCGTTTGATCAATCCCGTCTTTGGGGCCAAGGCAGCTTGGTAGCATTTTGTTCTTAATTTGGGGGGAAGAACGAGAGGTTGGTTCTCAAAGCGCATTAAACATCGACGTCCAGAAGGACCAACTGTCTGGTTTTTAGAAAGGGAGAGATGCAACAAGCGGATGATGTTTTTGAGGCAACGAAGAGTGTGGGGTTATCGGAGCCCCCAAGATCTGGTTTGCCGGATTCCTGGCGTCCTTCTTCTGTCTTTACCCCTCTAGTCCCTGAGCTGCCCCTTCCCTCTGGGTTTTAAGAGTTGCTCTCGTTCCACCGACTTTGTGCCATTCCTCTCTTCCCCTCCTCGCCCTGACCGACACATCCCAGCATCAGCGAGGACCAGTGGCAGCCCAGCCATCTCACGGTTACCATGGCGATGCTCCTGTTCCTGCTCTGCTCTGCCTCTCTCCCCCACCTTGACCCCCATTTTTCATCTGGGCTGCTTAACCTGGGAACCGATGCTTCCCCCCCCCCTTCCCATTTGTCTGGAAGGCAGACAGGGCATCCCAAGCCTCCTCCCCCCGCCCCTCAGGGCCTCCCCTCCCTCCAGCCGGGCAGGGGAAGCGGAGCAGATTCCCAAGATGCCAGGCCAGCGTGGGTTGATGTGGGTTGATGCATCGTGGCAGCCTTCCACCCCTGCAGTCCTGCACCAGTGAATGCATCTCTCCAGCAAGCGAGGGAGTCGTCTTTGCTCCTGGCCTCCCATCCCTTGTCAAGGAATTGCAAATCAGCCACCCTCCCACCCCACCCCAGGCAGGAGGGAAACGGGGTTAGCCGAAAGTCTGCCGCGTTACAATTAGCCAGCCATCACTCCGCTGTTCCCTCCGCCTCTCTTGCCTTGGTCCTCTTGCTTTGAAGGCCTGGGGGCAGCTTACTTAACACCCCCCCCCCCCCTCCTCTGCCCCTGAAGGGCCTTCCCTCTCTTCACCTCTTTAAATCCCTTCCCTTTGCTGGCCTGGGTGGAGAAGGAAGGGGGTCTCCCATGGGTTACACCCACCCAGGAGTTGGGGGCGAGTCCGGACACTTTCAGCTGCTCCCTCCCAAGTTTGAAAGATGATCTCATCGCTTGGCTCCCAATTGTGGAAATCATTGAAGTTTCGGTCTTCGCTTCTGTTCTGAGCGGAGCCAGTTTATGAATTGCACTTTACGTTATCTCAGCAGGCGTGCGCGCACACACACACACACAGACACAAACACACAGAGTTGGAGAAAGCTGCAGGAGCGAGCTTGGATTTGCTCTTGCTAAGATGCCAACTTAAGAAGCTCCAGAGTGAGCCCTCCGGCCAGGATGATGGACGCTGAAGTCGGACAAGTGACACACTCGCTGCCTCCAGATGAGACCGTGTGGTTTCGCCCCCCTCTTCAAACCATAATGAGGTTGTCGTTCTCCCCACCAGCCATGATACCCACAAGATGCGTCCACAGTTGGTGGCATCTCCTTGGAGCAACGAAGCCCCCGCTGGCATCCTGCTAACTTACTTTGAGTTTTCCTAAGACCTCAGGAGGACATTCTGGTCAGAAACCTGATCTTAAGCGAGTTTGTTTCCCCTGGAGCAGAATCTCCTAGTTTCTTGGCACTGCAATCCGCCTGTTCGTTGCTCAGCTCCCTTTTTTGCACGGATGCTGCTTTTCGAGGAGGACAAGAGCGAGCTGGCTTTGGCCTTTGTTGTGAACAACAAAGCTGTTTAATTGGCTCTCCTAATTGCCTTCTTCCCGTCTGCCCAGGAATTAACATATAAGCAAAACAGCCTGGGGATTATTATCAGAGGCGCCCGTGTTTCACCCAAAGAGAGAGGGGGGAGGGATGGAGGGAGAGGAAGGACCCCTCCCCAAACCAGCATTTTCCTTGTTTCAAAGTCTCCACCATCCGAAGCTTCCTGTTCTCCCCTTTGGACCAAGCTATTAAAATGCAAGCTGCCACGGAACAGAACGTCGTCCCCTCCTTCTGTAACTGGCCACTCTTAACCGTTTGGGGGAGAGGGGAGGGGAAGAGGGGAGAGGTCCTTAGCAAATGGTTGAAGGCCACGTCCAAATCCCTTTGCCCAGGGCTGCCAGCAGCCGGAGGGCCCAGCCCTTCCCTCCGCCGCCCAGAGAGCTGCCTGGAAGTGCCTTCTGGCCCTCCCTCCCTCTCGCCTGGAATTGGCCTGCTTGGGCAGCCGTGAGCCCCTGCCATCTCGGCGTGGCCAGGGATTGAAACTCCCACCTGTGGGAGTCCTTCCACGGCACCAAACCTCACCCACTTCAACGCCTGGAGCCATGGGTTGGTTGGCTGCTTTCTTTGACCTGCGGGCAGGTCCATTTTTGACCTCATCAGTCACAAAATTGGAGGGTTTCTGACAGCCGTGCGTCGGATCACCTGCTCACCAGGGGAGAGAGATGCCGTTGTTAGCGTCCCCTTGTCTGCCTTCTCTCAGCCTTTTCATTAGGAGGGTGGCACGCTTCCCAATTAATTGCAGCCCTCCAGCCGCCGGCTCTCTGCAGCGAGCCACAGTTGCTTGGCAAGGCACATCCCCCCACCTTTGGTCCCCAGGGAAGAGTCTTGCCGCCCCCGCCAGTGAAGCCAGGCGTTCATCAGGTGCTGGATGGGACCTTTTCAGAGGTCAGCCCAAAGAAGGAGCAGCGCGTTCCTTTTTTGCTGGGTCATCTTCAGTCTTGGTGAGCCGCCAGGATGCGTGCGTCGGGTATCGCTCTATCTCCGGGCAAGTGTTGAAAGAAACGAAGCCATCCTCCTTTCCGAGAGACCCAAGGTGAAGAGAAGGCGGCGCAATCCACC